ATGCAAACAAGCAGTGAAGCATCAGTGTCAACACTGATGTTGCTGTCATTGATGATGATGATGATGATGATGATGATGATGATGATGATGATGCAAACAAGCAATGCAAGTGACACCAGGAAGATTTCAGATTGACGCTTTTTAGAGCATATGAGACCTCTCCTAATCGGCAAAGGACTGTCTTTCTGATTATTTGCACTGCGCCAGTATGGGACAAAATCCCGAAGCAGTTCCATCTGTATTGAACAGCTGTTAAAGATAGAGACAAGCAATCAACGGACACTCTTTCCGACAGCCTACGCTATCGTCCGGCTAGGTACAAAGTCCAACCCAGAGGAGACCTATGGGCTTGGGCACCTGAGAGACCAAACCGTCCCACTCTAGGTAGTTCCCAAGTGATAATTCACCAGCCAAAAAGGACATGCAGATAGTCCTCGCTGATTGTTTTCCTTATATCTCAAAACTAACGGCATGAGAGGTGGTAAGTATTGAAAGTCCGCTCTCGAATTAGCAACACGAGGCCAGTTGCTAATAGTTGGTCCAGTGTGGAGATGGCTCAGTGGTTGAAGCGCGAATGTAGTGACAGGAGGGTCCGTAGTTCAAACCTGACCTTTACCTCTCGACTTCCCCTGTCTAAGGCCGGCAATCTGGCCACTCTAGGTAGTTCCCAAGTGATAATTCACCAGCCAAAAAGGACATGCAGATAGTCCTCGCTGATTGTTTTCCTTATATCTCAAAACTAACGGCATGAGAGGTGGTAAGTATTGAAAGTCCGCTCTCGAATTAGCAACACGAGGCCAGTTGCTAATAGTTGGTCCAGTGTGGAGATGGCTCAGTGGTTGAAGCGCGAATGTAGTGACAGGAGGGTCCGTAGTTCAAACCTGACCTTTACCTCTCGACTTCCCCTGTCTAAGCCCGGGCAACCTGGCAGTATACCAGACTTCGTGCTTCCCTGGGGTGCTACAGCTGAATGACCTTAAAGAAATTTTTCTGGTGTGGAAAACCACGACGCCTGGAGATTTTAGATAGAGTATACCCTACAGGACGTGCGCACCAAGATATCACCCTCCAAATGGGACCACCATGTACTAAACAAGTGCATATTCTGTTAAGTTTTACATTTCTTGGAAAACTATTTGCAAGGATCCTATAGTGGGTTCGTTCTTGGTTTTCACGAAACCGTCCTATTAAAAAGGCTGAAATCATCCAGAGAGTTTGCTATGTTGCCGAGTCATTGGGAGAACCAGATATTCCAGGAAGACAGAAAGACCGATTTGACTTCGATTAATAGTTAATACCATCTAGAAATTGTTGATTTTGAATAATTTTGTGACCGGCATAACACCACTTGAGCTGCAAGTTAAATAGTTGGTGTTAGGTCAGTTGTACGTAGCCAAAGTGCATACAAAAAGATTAAACTGAAGGTCTAGATGTTGAAGAACGTCCTGTAACAGACTAAATGAGAATGTAAATAATCGACTGAAGAGACGGCGGCTCAGGTGTGGAGTCAAACGTTGTTACAAAAAACTGCTCCAGCATGACAAACTTTTCTTGTGTCGCACGCATATGATGGAGAGTGGAAAAATTCGCAATCAGAGCCAGAGAGTAGCTTTGACTTGAACGTCCGTCACCGATGTCAGTTCAGTTGGTATTTGGTACTTCTGAGTGAGTAGCACGGTCATATCCATTCGGTAATGGTCATTCGGTGTTTTATGCAAGTAAAAATAGGCTGACTGAAACACATGCGGGATAGATCTGTCTGAAGATGACCCTCCACTGGAAGTAACCTGTTGTTTTATGGGTGATGACGGTTTTTTAAAAGGGCACCTCCATAATGGAGGCTTATGTTACACTGTCCAGTAGCCTCCCTTTGAGAGGACACTTATTGCTAATTCTTCACAGCATGTTTGAAATTACAAGCCTCGCAGCTCAGCAGATGTAGAATGAGCAATGTGGACCGTTGTAGAGCCCAACCCTTACCTGGGTCAGCTAGAAGAATGAGCATCCGCAGCAGCATGCCTAAGTGAGTCTGTTTTCCAAGACCCATTAGTCTGGCAGGGAATTCTAGCTGGGAGCAGACTTCTGGCATCCGTTGGTTACCACGTGAAAACGTGGAAATAGAGTTAGATGATCTGCGGGAAACAAGTTATCTATCCATGAGCGCAAGTAGCGCCGCAGTCAGATTACCTTCAGGGTAAGGGGACTCTGTTCGATTTTTTTATCTCTATAAACCAATATAATAAAAACAAGAATCCAACACAACGAACGACGAGTATCTGGTTGTTTCTACGTCACAAAAGCGTTTCTTTTATAATTGAAATTAATAAACTTACTATTAACCAACAGGATGCATATGTATAAGCTTACCTTGTGCCGCTTTGATAGAAAGTATTCCACGCCGAGAAGCACAGGCTCGGGAAATGGGCAGCAAAACCAAGGTAGCTCATGAAATTTATCCGATAATCAGCATCATAACTTAGGGTTGTGTTGAACTTGTAGTCGACATAGTACTACAAGAGCAGATGAAAATGATGGATATTCATACTTCTTTCGCATTAATGAAGACATTCCATGGTAACAGGAAACCAACGCCATGTAGTAGTAAAAATATATACGCCAGGTTGAACCTTTGCGGAAATCCTATATAAACTGATTTACTTACCTATCGCGTGGCGGATGAGTATCTAGTAAATCCCTGTCTAAGAAGATTATTCATTGTTACGGAATCAAAAATACCTCCATTCATTTTTTACAGTATGGAGCAGACTGGGACGTCAAAGGGGACGAATGCTCCAATACGCGGCCGGTATTATCTGAAACTGAGAAAAACAGCATGGGATAAACTCTGGGTTACGTTTACAGAACTTATCAATCTTACAAAAGCACTTTAGGAAGCCGCCACCTTGAGTTTTCTTACCGCCTTCATACTAGACTACTTAACTGAGCATACAGCGTAGTAGCTGAGCAAATGTCTACAGCTGTGGGAAACAAGGTCATCAAAAACACCAATAGCAGCAATACCAGAAGAGAACACTGGTGCTTCACCGCCGTTCAAACATGTCAACTTATTTCACTAAGGCTTTACAATCAAAAGGAAATGGAAGGAAGGGGACCTAGGGATAGTCTGCAACAAATACCTGAGATGGGTGATCCTCTGACACGCAGTTAGACAAACTAGGTAGACACTGACAGCAAGAATCCCGTTGATATCAGTTGGCCGCCATATCGTTCCGTCAAACAAGTGTAGGGGAGGCCACATGGACCTCATTCTGGAGGGAAAACAGCGCCAAGGGCACCCTACATTATCGTAACATCCTTCATTCTCTTCTGCCATGTCAAACTCTGTCCACCTCTGGGTTTATGCTACTCCTAACAGCGCCCACCCGGCAGGCATCCGTAACACATGGCTCAACCAACTAGCTTACAGTGCTGGATGCATTCCTTGACAGAGTAACCCAATGCTTCATCGCCCGAATTTAAGCTGTCAAAATTGGATAATAAGGAGCTTGAAGAATGACAGAAGGCTGATGGACTGTGAACCCCAGACAGAGAATGCTTTCGCTGTAGGCAGCAACCGCTCCCTACTTTACCAGAACGGATCGACTGGCCAAAAGTGTCGGGAAACAACATGCGGGGAAAATGTAACAGCAATGCATTCACAAAATCGTCGTCCTGAGCGACGGGCTAAACACTTCAAAGAACAGTTCCGTTGGCCAGATTGGAACATACTAGCCCGTCCGTCCTCAACAGAAATCCAGCGCAAGATATCAATTCCTAGGGTGACAAGGCACCTGACCCAGATTGCCTGCAACCCTGCACACTTCAACGGCGGTAAGGTACTACTCTGGGCTAAAGTGTCGGGAAACAACATGCGGGGAAAATGTAACAGCAATGCATTCACAAAATCGTCGTCCTGAGCGACGGGCTAAACACTTCAAAGAACAGTTCCGTTGGCCTCTTTCAACAAATTTCCTGAATAATCCAGCGGGCCAGATTGGAACATCGACACTAGCCCGTCCTCAACAGAAATCCAGCGCAAGATATCAATTCCTAGGGTGACAAGGCACCTGACCCAGATTGCCTGCAACCCTGCACACTTCAACGGCGGTAAGGTACTACTGTGGAAGATTTGGGAAGAAAACAGAGTATCAGTGGAATAGAGCGCCTCAACCGTCATTCTAGTTCCCAAAGAGGGCGAACGAAAGTCGTACATCATCATTGTCAGCTGTAATTACCTCGTACTCGTCGTACAGTGGGTGTACCTGCCGCAGATTCGTCCACCGATGATTGGGGGTAGGTAGCTGCGCATTGCAGGCGGGAGCTGGTAAATTGGTGCATAAATCCAGCACTGTTAGCGGGCTGTCAAGTGGGGG